GTGGCATAGTGGTTAGGGTGCTGGACTCCCATATGACCGACCACAGTTCTAGTCCCAGACCTGGTGGCTTGAAACTCACATTGAGGATGTGTGCATGCATTCCCCAGATCCCAAGAGAAGGGATTGTGACATGGCCATCCTCTGGGGGTGAGTTCTTACTTTCTTTTCATTTCTCTATGTCTCTCTGGTGACCACATGTGCCTGGTAGCAAAAATCTCTCCAAAAAAAAATAAATAAATAAAAAGAAAAAGGTACTATAGCAACAGAAAGCAATCATTTCGTATATACAGTGAGATTAGCACCATGGACTCAATATTGAATAGTATTTGATCACTGCTTTCAAGGAAATCCCAGTGTCATTGAGAAAATGGAAGTTTAAACAAATAATTATTGTAAATATTTTAAAGTATTATAGGTGTATGGAGAGTTTTACATGCATCTAAATAACAGTATAGTTAAATTGTCAAGAAAAGGCAGAGGTTGGTGAGGGACAGAAAATGCTTCATAGAACCTGTGACATTGGGACCAGCAGTTGGCATAATGGGTATATCACTGGACTCCCATGTAGTCGAAGGTGGTTCGAGTCCTGGACCCAGTGGCTTAAACTCATGCTGGACACGGGTGTGCGTGCCCAAGATCTCTAGCGGAGAATGGAGGAGAAGGGATTGCAGTGTGGCCATCCCCACTGGGGGATGATTTCTCACTTTCTGTCTCTCTGTTTCTTTCTGGCGAGCGTATGCCCCTATAGCAAAAACCTCTCCAAAAAAAAAGAACAAATGGCATTGAATTGTGTCTTCAAGGATGATAATGAGCTTATGGGGGGGTGGGATAAAGAGGGGGATGCTGTGAAAGAAGGTGTGGAATTTCCTGGTGATTTGGAGAATCAGTGGGGCATATGATTTGGCCAAAATCCTGGCGACCTTTGGAGGAATGCCTGGATTTGAGGCCAAATGATAGAATAGTCATCTAATTTTTATTACTTATTGTAACTTAGCACAGGCACTCTAAAAGTACTAGAGAGATATAAACAAACAAACAAAAAATGATGTCTTTAATAATTGTTAGACATTTATTGGGAAACATGTTGCTAGATCTCAGATAGTAAATATTCTGAATACTGAGCACTAGGGAGCATTACAAATGTATAGAAACAGAAGTTGCCAATTCCCCTAAGGCCAGGGTCTGTAAGTCTCAGATGACCACTTCCACTTCAGTCTATAGGTCAAAGCAGTCACAGGGCCAGCTTTTAGAAGAGGGGAAATAGACCTGACTCCTCAGTTGAAAGAGTGACATTTTACAACTACATTTTATTTATTTATTTTTGCACATGGTCTAATTTGTCAGCATGTTATTTACGGAGACTTTTAGTTAAATATTTATCACTGATTGTCCAGCCTCTGTGTCTCTTAGTTAAAATGCTCCCAAGAGACACTTAACTCTGGTTGCTGGCCATCAGGTCATCTGTGGTTGAAAGAGGCAAGTCTTATGCTATTAAGGATTTTATTTTAGAGACTGAGGTGGGATGTGTTGTCTCAAAAGACCATGGTCAGAGTTGGCAATGGCAGACAAGTTGAGAACATTAGTACACCCAGGACTGTTGGAGGGAACTCCCAGTGCCCGCCTGTTCCTCTGAGCCTTGAGATAATCTTCCTTTTCATGGTCCAAAAACTCTGCCTGATTTACCCTCTTTCTTTTTATACTATTATTATTATTATTATTATAGAAGCTTATTTTTTCCATGAAGAGAGAGAGAGAGAAAGAGAGAGTCAAATGCACCCCTAACAAGGCCTACATGGTGTGATCCACCCACAGCCCTAGCAAACCCAGATTACAGGCGTACACGAGCTGCCTGGCTCTCACAGGGAAGCCTTGAAATGATCGTGGACATGGGTTCATCCTCTGTGGGCCCACTCTGCAGAGTGTTGTCTCACTGCTGTATCACTGTCTGGCTCTTGGCTTCTTACTTTTTTTTTTTTTTTTGAACCACTTTCTCCCTCATTCTGTAGTTTCACTTTTTTTTAAGTTCTTGGAATATACCTCTCCCCTTCCTGCTGTTTGCCCTTGTGTACCTTGGACAGAAGACTCTCTTTTCTCACCCAGACCTTGTCTGTAGGGTAACTTCTAACTCATCCTTGGATCTAAGGTCAAATATCACTTCCCGAAGGGAGCATGGAACCCTATGGATTAAGTCTCATCCTGTTACATGTCTGTTTCCTTCATCGCACTAATCACACTGTAACCTGTGTGGCTGCTTGATTGCTGTCTGTCTCCCACTGCGGCTTCTAGAAGGCACAGGCACATGTCTGTCTTCCTTAGGCTGTGGTGGCTATGCAGGTTCAGGTTAGGTCCTGGCAAATACTGGTTATTTATGAATACGTAAGTCAAAAACTAAAGATAGTTGCCTTAAGGAAGAAAGGATTAAGGGAAAAGAAGAATATTATCTTAATGAAAGAAGTGAAGAGTAGCCCTTTTTTGGAGTATATAAGAGAACAGTTTCTTGGGGAACCCCCATCCACCCAGTGGTGATACCCTGTGAAAGGCAGGGAAGTTTTGTCGTTCATTAAGAGCATAATGGTGGGGGCAGAATGGTAGTTTGAATATACCAGGATTATCTGTTCAGAGATGGACTTTAAATGTTTGATTAAAAGCCAATATTATTTTTTGTCTTTTTGCTTCTACCGCTATGGGGCCCCAGATCTCAGTACCCAGAGATCCATGGCTGAACTTTGTGACCATCAAGCCAGAACTGCTTAATCCATTCCTGGTCACTTTCCCATGAACCTGTGTCTTGTCTGACTGTAAGTAAAAGGTTGGTTAGATTGCATTTGGGGATACGGTGTGTTTGTGAGTATAATCTCCAGGAGATAACCCTAACTGTAACTTTTAGTCCAGGTCTTCTGTGGCATGCTGTTATCTGAAAGCAAAGTGGTAGAGTCAAAATGGCAGAAGGGAAACAGATGGCCGGAGTACCCCTACTCCAGGTGATTGTACAGCAATAGTGTGACAGGATCCACAGGGACAAGGTCCTAGGTTCACATCCTGGGGCCTCCTTGAACATGCCAGTGACATGGGCCAGCTGAGACTGGGGCTCAGACTGGTCATAGCATGCAGATCATGTTGAGGATGCCTGTCTCTGTCCTTGTGTCTCTCTCTGTCTCTTTCACTCTCATGGAAGAAATAAATAAATAAACTTCTAAAAAAGAAAGAAAGAAAGATGGAACAGGAAATAATGGAGACCCTATTTCATTCAAGGACCCTATATCCTTTGAATCTTAGGGTTTTTCCTTTTCTACTTTCAGAGATTAAGATAAAGATGGTTGGAAGTAGGACTAGCAGTTGGTGTAATGGCTATGTTGCTGGACTCCCATGTAGTCGACTGCGGTTCGAGTCCCAGACCTGGTGGCTTAAACTCATGCCAGGCACATGTGCATGTGTCCCCAAGATCCGAGAGGAGAATGGAGGAGAAGGGATTGCGGTGTGGTCATCCCCCCCGCCCCCAGGGGGTGATTTCTTGCTTTTTGTCTGTCTTTCTCTGTCTCTCTGGTAAGCAGACACACCCTATAGCAAAAATCTTTTGCAAAAGAAGAAAAGGATGACCCATACCAAGGGGTGAGTAGACCAGAGGAATTGAGTATCTTAGAAGCAATGGCAGACAACTTGTTCAGTTGAAAGATAAAGGCTGGAAGAATAAGCTGTTTGTCAGAAGCTGTTGAACTAAATAAACCCAGTGAACACAACTTGGAGGTTTACCAGGTTTAATTTTAAGCAGAGAAGTAAAAGAATGTCTAATATTCAATAGTAACATCCAGTACCTTAGAATTCTGTTTGTTCTGCAGTCAAAACATAGCCCAAGCTTAACCAGTGTGTGTGTTACTTTCATCACTATTTTCTCATCCAGTCGCCACCCTCCTACACCTGGATTATGCAATAACCTTGTAACTGGCCTTCCTGCCTGTGCCCGTGCCCACCTACAGTCTGCTGTCAGTACAGCAACCCCTGGGGTCCTTTTAAGATAATTAGTCAGATCATGTCGTCCGGTGCCTAGCCTACTGTGACTTCCCACCTCATTGGAAGCGTAAGCCAAAACCTTTACACAGGCCTTCAGGGCCTGGCATGATTCTTTCCCGTTTATCTCTGACTTCATCTGTTAACTGCTTCTCCCTTGTTCACGCCATACTAGCTACCCCCACCAGCTGCTGTTCCTCACATTCTAGGCATGCCTGCCCCAGGGACTTTGAACATTTTTCCTTGGCCTGGAACACTTACTTCCCAATGTGTATAGAACTTGTTCTTTTGCCTCTTTCAAATCTTTGCCCGTTGGTGCCTTCTTTTACCCTCCTGTCTCCCCTCCCCTTAATAGTGTGGTAACTTCCGGGTTAACATTGCCATCCCTGTAACTTGTACTCAGGTTTCCTTCCCCTGCTGTCACCTATTTCCTTTATAGCCTTAAGTGTCTTCTGATATCCAGACCATTTCCTTACATGTCTGTTGTCAGCCTTCCCCTCTGGAGTGGAGGCTCCATGAGAGCAGAGATTTCTGTTTGTATGGTGCACTTGTGATGTTCTCCATACCCAGAACAGTACCAGGTACTCAGCCAACAACTGGCACATATTCTGTGAGAAGCTGCTTTTTGTGTGAAGTGGAGATTTTCTTGACATCATCTGTCAGTGATTTTTACATTTGCACATATTCAGGGCTCAACAAACATTGACTAAACAAAGAGAACCTGACATGTAAAATCTTAGCAGTTTGCATTATCTGGTTCCAGAAAGTTCCATTACTGAATGGAAGATGTAAAGAATGATGGGGAGGAAAGGCCATCAAACAGTTCCAGTTCCTTTAGTTGAACCTCCACTTTGGGTCAGAATTCACATAGCAGTTTGATAATTCTTTCATTATTACTATGATTATTAATTGGATGCTATTTAAAAATCTGGCCTTTAAACCCTCCACTGATATTAAGAGATTATACTATACAGGGTACAGAAATTGCTGGGCTGACTGTAACTATTCATGGCCAATTAAGGAGCAGCACTGGCAAGACGTGCAGGGCGAATGCAGTTGTGCTTTGTGGGAGTCCTGGTGGCTATGGTTCGCAGAATTGGGGGATTAGCTGGCTGAGTTTTCTTCTGCAGAACAGATCTTGATTTGGTTACCTGGTGGGTACTCCTATAAATGAAGAAAATAAACAATCTTGAGGGATTAAACTTTGTAAGAGAGTTAAAGACAGAAATAACAAAGTGAAGAAATTACTCTTTATTTGGGAGCATTTCCTTGAGAAATCCCTCTGAAGTTGCTTTTTGTTTTATTCAGTATCTCTTTTATCTCTTCCCCCCTCCCCCCCCCGGGGATGCAGATGACTTTTAAAAGAATGCATGCAGAAAAACAGGCATTAGGAGGCAGAAATGAATTCTTAAAAGTTTAACAAGCTTCCAAAGGACTGAACTGCTCAAAGAGGCTGGACTATACCACATCTTTAAGGTTGATAGGTCGGAGAACCAAGCACAGTATGCTCTGCTATGCCCCTTGGTGTATCTCTCAGTGACATTTTAGCTCACTTATATTTCTAGGTGGGTCTTTTAAAAAATATTTAATTAAATTTAATTAATTAATTATTTTAAATTTGACCAGAGAGGGACAGAGTGACAGAAAGAGAGAGAGAGAGAAAGTATGTCGCAAGGTCCAGGACTTGAACCCCAGTTGGCCATCTGGGAGTCTAGTGCCCTTAACCATCATGCCACCTGCTGGCCCCATAGGTAATCCTATTAAAGGAGTTCAGACAGTAGGGAAATATGACACATAGGAACCTGAAAAACATCAGCAGCAGATTTATGCCTTTGCTTAACTTTAGAGTTAAAACAATCTGTAGAAAATTGTTTCGGAGATTTCTAGCTTGTGAAAATACTGTCTAGCCCTTGTTTTCAGATAGAGTGTCTCAGGGGTCAAAAGAAAGTTCAAATAAAATGAAACCCCAGAGAACAAAGCTGTACACATACATAACGAAAAGATCCATGTGACATTTCCTAAGGCTACCATGGTCCAACCGGGAGGCTGTTTAAATCAATGGCAGAGCTATTTTCCTAGCGCTGCCTGAAAGTGTCAGCAGTGTGTTGTGTGTTTCATCAGGGGTCAAAAAGCATGTGAGAGGAAACATTAGAGATGAAGGGTTTTTTTTTTTTTCCTTCTGGTTGTAAAATGTCTTAGCTGTGTTTGCACTTATTTCTATCTTCACTGAAGAGGACAACTCATGGGGTAACCGAGATAGTAAACTTTGTGTCCAAGGTGAAAGCGAATGAGATAAAAAATATTTCCCCAGGGGAGTTTTGTGGTGGGGGAAGCAGGAAATCTGTACCACTGAGTTCTTAAGAAAGTCTTTCCCTTTTTTTTTTTCTTTTTTTCCTAGAGGATGTGTGATTTCTTGGAGAGAGGAGGGGAAGAATGAAGGAGAATATGAAAGCATCCCCCTACCCTCCTGGAGCAGGGGGAGGTGGAAAGAGCCACACCGCAGTCCCCTTGTCCTCCATTCTTCCTTCCTAATCTTGGGCACACAAGCACACGTGCCTGGCATGTTCTTCAAGCCACCGGGTCCAGGACTTGAATCACATAGTTGGCCATGTGAGACCCAGTTACCCCAACCACTGTGCCACCAGCTGTCACTTCACTGTGGCTTTATTTGCTGCATCAGGGACGTCACAGTCATCGCAACACAATTCTTGGAGTGCATCCTTCTTTCACTTCAAGATAGTCTCTACTCTCGGAAAATGATAAAAAATTTATCTCCAAAAAAATAAAAGATGTGACTGCAGTTCTTTTTTTTTATTAGGAAAAGGAAAACTCTAATGTGTCCTACTTTTTTTCACCCCAGTTGTCTTTTATATTTTTGACAAGTTCTCTTACTTCAAAAAAAAAAAAAAAAAGTGGGTCTACATTAATTCTAAATGTATAATGATTACTCTTATCCAGTTAATATAATTATCACAGCTCTTTATTTCGGTGTCTTCTTTCCCTTGCTATTACCGAGTGTTTGTAATGATCTTTCCTGGAGGTTGGGCAGGGGAGAGGAGATGAAGAGGACGTACAGCAAAAATCAGGCTTGTTGTCTTCAACGGTCCATCCTCTTTAATCATGATCTTTTGATACTTATTAATTATCCAGTGCAAGCCACCTAAAATGGAATAAGTGAAGATGTCTTTTATTGAGGAATCTAGACCAAATAATAGACAATTAGAGCAGACAAATTTTAGTATCTGATAAATTCTACCATGGGAGAGGGTCTTGCAGCCTGTTTGGGGTGAGGGTGAGGTTCAAGATAAGCTTCCAGGAAGAGGTACCGTCTCAATTGATCATGAAAGGATGGCATTAGGTGGATGAACTCAGTATATGTGGGGTTGACCCTAGGTAAAGGGTGAAGACGTTTCCAGCAGGACAAACTCCATATTCTAGAGGTCACATTTATGTGAGGGTTGTATTTCTGAAGTCCGTGCAACTTCCGAAGTCCTACAATTTCAGAATAATTCTGTCTAAAGATGGTGGGTATTTCCATTTACCAGCTAATATGGCGCCACCCTGTGGCCACTTGGTAAACAGAATTTCACATGCCTTCTGCCCAGCCAGCATTGAAACTACAATTCTTACAGAACTTTAATGTTTGGGGGGCTTTACACTGACTCAAATTAATATGAGAAGGTATATAATTTCATTTCTAAGCTGCATTATTCAAGTTGACATAAAATATGACTACAGTCTGGAGAGTTTCAGAGTAGTAACTCGTGGCCCACCTGATAAAACTGAAAGTATTGGGTTGTCTGAAAAGTCCTGATGCATTTTTGCATAGAAAACACAAACAATTACCTCATACCTTTTCTGATGACCCAGTAGTTCAGGATAGAGATGGCAGATACCCATGGGAGTAGTGGTTGAGTAGAAAGGATATGACATGGGTAAAGAATCAGGGTCCACATCATCAAAGGCTTATAAACTAAGATACTAGATACACTTAGGCACATTAAAATTTTAGAAAGTTTATTTGAGCAAACAACCAGCAGTCCATGAATTGGGCAGCACCAGAGCATTAACAGTTCAGGGCTTCATTGAGGCGTGCATGGGGGAAAATGTTTATAAGGAATGAGACAGGAAGCAAGACAGACAAAACATTTGGTTAAAGTGAAAAGTTCCTAGTTAGATATTAGTTGGAGATTTCTGGTTGCTGAGGCTTAATTTTTGTTTTACTATTTATTTATATCGAGTTGGTTTTTGGTTTGCTTACCTAGGGACCTGAGGTGCTGGAACATTCAGCCTAATGACTTCCCCCATTACTTTTTTAACAGTTATAAGAAGATAATGGCAATGCGGGAACCTCTGAGGGATGTTTAAGAGGGAATTGGTAAGGTCAACCTTTATACACTTGTTTAAGTTTTAATGGAAAGGAAAGTTGAAATTAGATGATGTGTGGATGTCAGTTATTTATGGAGCACTCGTCTTTCGTTTCTAATTAGACCTTAGCTATCAACAGTATACCCTTTTGTAATGTCAGAGTGTTTTTAAAATGTTCTGTTCATTTACTTTCGAAGGGTCTATGAACCATCTTGGAAGAGAAAATAAAATGCGTGGGCTAACTAGTAAAGAAGGTCGGGTACAGGTTCAATCCAGACTTGAGGTCTAAGACTGGAGGAGAATTCGATTAGGGCATCATACTTGGGTGTCCGTGTTATAATATAGGCTGTGGGAAACTTGTGTTAGACAAATATAAACGGACATCCTTATTATGGAACTTGTAGAACCTTAAAAGCCCTAATGAGTGTAAAAGTATGTAGGATGTTCTAAACTTGTTTTATCACTGAGGAACCTTTGTTCTAAAAATAGTGTATAGTCTTGCTGAGAACTAGTATTCCAGAGAAACGGCATCAGCCATCTAATGCCATAGTCATGCTGCATAACAAGCAAACACAAAGCATCAGCAGGATATAATAATGAACATGTGTTTAGCTTCTAAGTTTGGAGGCTTCAGCTGATCATCTTCTTCTTTTTTTTTTTTTTTCTCTTTTTGAAGAGGTTTTTGGTATAGGGCGCATGTGCTCGCCAGAAAGAGAGAGACAGAAAGTGAGAAATCACCCCCCCCCCTGGGGAGTGGCCTCTTCTCAGGATCTTGGGTACGCACGCACACATGCGCCCAGCCTGAGTTTAAGCCCCCGGATCCGGGACTCGAACTGCCTTCGACTACACGGGAGTCCAGCAACATAGCCATTATACTAACTGCTGGTCCCAGCTGGTCTTGATCTGGGCTTAACTGGTTTCAGCTGATGTTACTCATGTACCTAGATTTGGCTGTGGTTTGAACAAGCAACTCTTGATCTTGACTGGGTTTGCTCACATATCTGGACGCTAGGTTGGCTGTTGGCTGATCTAGGATGGCTTAAGCTAGTAAGACTGGGCTGACTCATTTCTGCTGTTTGTGTCTCTCATCCTCAAGTCTGCTAAACCCAGCATGTTCTCCTGGCTGCAGCAGAGGAGCACCAGTTAGAGCAAACCTGGTTGTTCAAGCACTTCTCAAGCCCGTGTTTGTATCATGCTTGCTAATATCTTATTGGCCAAAGGTAGACAGGGCAAGAGAGCAGTAGAGTTACATGGCAGAAGGTGTGGCTATGAAGAGAGAGAAGAATTGGGCTCTTTTTCATAATCACACTGCCCTAGAACCCAAGTTAGGCGCTGCTGGGTGAGATCACAGTCAACTGAGACCAAGGAATGAGTTTGGACATTTCCCTGTGCTCTGGCCATAGACAGTACTTTAATTCTGATAAACAGCTTCATAAATAGATGTCTAGCCATGACAAGGAAGAGTTCTTATGGGTCTACACAGAGTATTACTGTCTTTCTGTGGAATCAATCCACTCATGGATGAAAGGATTGTGGACATTGTTTAGTTCCAGTTGCATTATGTTGGAAATGAGGAAACAGTGGCACAGAAAGGTTAATTGGCCTATGTGAATTCACATAGCTAGTGAGAAGCAAAGATGGGCCTTGAACTCAGATCTTCTTTCAAGCTACTGGGGTTTTACTTACTTCAAAGAAGCTTTGTTGGGGTTTAGAAGGGATTGAAATGTATTTGCAGTCTTTATACATGAATGAGTCACATTCATTCTGGAGGGACTCTAATATAAGTAATTTTAAAAATAAGACTTTAGGGCCAGCAGGTGGAATGGTGGTTATGGTACTGGATTCCCATATAGCTGACTATAGTTCGAGTCCCGCACCTGGCAGCCCACTTTCTCACTTGTCCTCTGTCTCTCTCTTTCTCTCTGGTGGGTGAATGTGCCCTATAGAAAATTTTAAAATAATAATAATAATAATAATAATAATAATAATAAAATTAAATAAGTAATTCTTTTAAAAAATAAGAAGACTAGAAAGTAGTTATAGCTTGCTTAATGTCTTTAGGAAAGTCAATGGGTAAGGATAGTTCAACATTAAGTGGTTGCTGAATAATTGTGATTGGAGATCCTTGGTAATATATTTTTGTTTTCAGAACTTTTATGTCCTCTGCTCCTTTCCCCCACCACCAAGAATTTCTGCTACATCAGAAAAATCAATGGAAGACTTCTGAGAAGAGAGGAACAAATTTGTGTTCTAGCTCCGACCTTGTCAAACAGCAAATAAAACAGTGCAGGCAGATCTAGCAAGCTAGAATAGCGGGTACATTAACACCTAGTTTGGCTGACAGTGGTGGGGAATAATTTGTGCTTTGTAAGTCATATTTTGATAATGAAATTCTACCTTTTTAAGCACTATTGAGTCAGCTAGCTTTTTTTAAAAAGAGATTTTTACACATTCACTCACTGGAGAGACATAGAGAGACAGAGAGACACAAAGTGAGAAATCATCTCCCAGGGGGGATGGCCACGCTGTATTCCCTTCTCCATTCTCTTCTTGGGATTTTGGGCATGCATGCACACACGCCTGGCATGAGTTTTAAGTTACTGGATGTGGGGCTTCGGCTGCCATGGACCATGTGGGAGTCCAGCACCTTAACTACCACAGTACCTGCTGGCCCCTCAGCTAGCTATTTTTAACAATGGAAATACTTCTGAAATAATACATATGCTGGAACTACAAAAAGTTCATAGAAAAATGGAAAAGAATACAACTTGATAATGATGTAAAAAATTTGAAATCCATGTATAGTTTTTAAATAATTCACATTTTAGAAGACCTCGTGTATTTTCCTGAGTTACTAAACAAAGAGTGATGGAAACTTCATGGCCTCTTCCTTTAGACGTGGGCCACTGAACTGTGCCGTAATGCGGTGCTGTGCCTTGCAAAGAGCTGTGTGTACATGCCTTACACATGTAAGTGTAAGGCCCTATTGTTGCTGTTTGCTTAGGGCTACTTGCCATAAAACTAAATTACTTTAGACAGACCTGCTTTTTAATCTTCTCGTGCTTTATCCTTAGAGTATTTCTTGATATTTCTCCATTGTCAATCAGTCTTGTTTTCGAGCTGCTCAAACACAAATTTGTTCTTAGAGACATGACCTCCTCCTGCTTTCTACATCTTCCAGAGACCCCATTTCCTAGGCTCCTTTGCCCTCTGGCTTGCAGGAAGTTTTTCCCAATGGGGGGCACTGGTGGAAAGCTTTTTCTCTCTCTCTCTTTGTGTGTGTGTGTGTGTGTGTGTGTGTGTGTGTGCATATCTCTAGGAACAACTGTATCTCCTTCTTGGCTTCTGTTCTGAGCAGACTGCCCCTTCCTCAGTGGCAGCCAGTGCTGCTACCTTAGACTCTATCACTGGACTCTGGACTCTGCTAGCACCACACTCTCCCATCATCCCCATGTTAGGAAAGCTAGCTGCTCTTCACAGTTGCCAGTCTCTGGGCTACCACCCTGTTTCCTCTGTGGTCCCACAGCTATTTTGTCATCTCTGTCATCTCCCTTGGTTTGAAAGACTTAGAGTAGTTTCTGTTTCCAGGTTGACTTGAACTCATACCTCTTTCTCGAGGTTGCCTTCTTGTGTAATTCTTCCTCTTGTTCTAAGTTGCTTCTTGCAATCCACCGTGAAGATAGCATCCAGTTACCTGGTTTATTTTATTGTACATAAATGTTGGAATGTGATTGAACAATGGAGAAGAATGGTTCAGAGTGTGGTCTCTGGTGTTAGAATGTTGGGTCCTCATCCTAGCTACATTATCTGTGTGAGTCTGGACAAGTTTCTTAACCTCTCTGAGATTTTCTCTTTTTTTTTTATGTAAAAAAATGAAAGTCACTACAATACTTCTGTAGTTTCAATTTAGCTTTCTCAGGAAGCAGACTCCAAACTAGAGATTAGAGTGCGGAGGTTTATTCTGCAGTACTCTTGAGATCAACACCTGTGGAGGGGAAAGGACCAGTTCAAGACTGGGCAGAGGAAAATGTTGAGATGAGATGCAGTCTTAACAGAAGCCACAGTCAACTCCTCAGGGAGTTTGGAGGAAGGTTGGGTCTTTATTCACTGATTGCCATTGCAAATGCTTGACCCTGAGTGGACCTACTTTTTCTAGCTGAAAGCTATGTTCTAGAGCAGTCTGACAGTGGAGGGAATGCTGCCTGCATCACTTGCAGTGGCAGAGTAATCCATCCTTCCATCCTGACGTGGGATTGGGGCATTGTATCTCCATACCGCTGGTACAACTCCAAGCGCATAGTGGGACAGACGAATAGTTAATGCATGAGGAGTGTGTCTAGCACTGGTGAATGTGAAGCAACAGCGTTAGTTACCATTATTAATGAGTTACATCTAGACATTCCAGTACACAGACTTTATGATTAGTTATTCTGAGAGTTCTTACTGACTTCCTGTCTACAACCCTGTCCTAGAAGGTGGAGGATCAAATATAGATAAATACGGTTCCATGGCTTCTACACACACATTGCAAACCACATTTGTACTTTCATGTTACTGTTAATGGAATTTCTTGAAATATATCTTGCTCATAATTCACAAATTCTTATTCCCCAAGATATCCAAGGTCTTTAGTATCAAATTTGGTAGGAATTCACATGGCTTCCTTTTTTTGAACACTTCTGATGTAGCCCGGTGCTCAGCATGCATGCATTGTCTCATCAAACCTCAGACAACTTCCCAAAGTGCTGAGATTCCCATTTTCTGATGATCCCGGAGATCAGTTAGGTTAAATGACCTGCCCTAGGTCACCCAGCTAAAAAGTGGCAGAGAAGTCCTTCTGCCAGCGCTGCCAGACTCACTGCTAGCCTGTACTTTTAAATACACATTTGAACAATTTAAACAGCAGTAGGGGAAACCTTCTCCTCCGAAAATAACTCTAGCAAAGTGTAGGTGTTGTTTTGGTAGAAACATTTCAGCTGTTGCCATAAAAATCTTCCCCCAAATGGCTTCTTGAGAGCAAAGCTGTGCGGGCTCTGCTTGTGTTTCTGATGGGAGCCTTATGGCTCAGCCACAACACAAATGATTTGTTTTCCTGGCCTTGTTGGCAGAGTGATTTAATTTCTGGATTTCCCTGAGGAAAAAGGCTAAATAAATAAATTTCTTTATAATTGGATATTTAAAGAGAAGCCACAGGGAAGAGACAGAATGGGAAGTCCAGGTACCTTTTCATTCAGTGAATAATATGGTTAGGGAAGGGGCAGTGGCATAGATAGAATTCACTTGGTATTGGTTTGTCTGGAAGGTCATGATGCATTTTTGCATAGAAAAATATGTCATGACTTTCCTGATAACCTAATCTTTGCTCTTTTTAATATTTGACTCTCGGAACCAGCAGATGGTGTAATGGTTACGTTACTGGACTTCTATGTAGTCAACAACAGTTTGAGTCCTGGACATGGTGGCTTAAAACTCACGCTGGGTGGGTATGCATGTGTGGCAAAAGTCCTGAGAGGAGAATGGAGGAGAAAGGATTGTGGTGTGGTCATCCCCTGGGGGGGGGGGGTGATGTGTGTGTGTGTGATTTATCACTTTCTGTCCTTCTGTCTCTCCAGTGAGCATATGTGTCCTATTATAGAAATCTCTCTCTCTCAAAGAAAAAAAAAAAGAAAAATATTTGGCTCTCTGCTCTGTATCTGCTCAATTTAGTTGATTATTATAATCAACTAAAGACAAACAAGGTGAGTGTTTACCATTTTTGGAGAAAATAAATAAACGTTCGGCATTTTTGGAGAACAGGAAATCTGGTCACTTTCTTTATACTGAAATGAAAGTAACACCTCCTTTTCTGTAGGAAAAATTAATTTTCAAAATAAACTGTGTGGTACCGATGAGAAGTCTGGGGAGCTGTAAGGTCAGGGATTCCTAAAAGTGTCTTCTGAGGAGTTCCTTTTCTTGGATGTGTTAGTTAGGATTAGTTTTGGCTGTTTTTTTTTTAAATTTATTTATTATTATTATTTAATTTCCTGTAGTCACCCGAGAGAGATAGAGGTAAAGAGAGAGAGAGAGAAGAGAGAGGGAGAGAGAGAGAGAAAGAAGGAAAGTGAGAAAACAATCCTCCAAGTCTGGAACATGCACTGCAGACAACCATATAGAATTCCAGTGCCTTAACCACTTTGTCATCTATTGGCCCTAGTTTTGACTGTTTTTAACCAAAACATTTGTAAAAATAACTTAAACAAGGTGGAAGTTTATGGAAAAGAAATTCAGATTTAGGCATGCAATATGATCAGGAGTTCAGGTTCCCCTTTTCTGTCCCCACATCCTCATCAAGTGGCTTCCATTTTCCTTTGGTTACTTTCTTTTGGGCCCCATCAGTGTTGGCTGTCATGTTTGCAGTCTAGAAGTGCAGCAGGAAGGAATTACAGAGAAGAAAGCAGCCCTTAACTGAGGGAGCTCTTTCAATTTCTGCAGTCCTCCTGGGATTCCATAGAACACTTCCATTTTTCATTCTCTATTTTTTTAAGCATTATTTTATTCATCATCATTATTTTTTAATTTGGCCAGAGAGTACAGAGGGAGACAGATACAGTGAGAACGCAAGCCACTCGGTCTCCCATTCGAACCACAATTGGCCATGTGGGAGTCTAGTGTATTTACTACCCCATCACCTGCTGCCCCCCCCCCTTTTTTTGGTCACATGGTCAAACCTAGCTACAAAAGAGACTGAGAAATGTAGTCTTTCATTGAGCACACTGCTGGAGTAAAATTAGGTCCTTCCTCCTGTTCCTGAAAAGGAGAATGGATGTTGAGTAATAACTGACAGATTTTGCTGTACTTGGGTTTGTAATACTAATGCCACCACTAAAGATTTAGCAGTGGGAGAGTTAATATGAAAAGGTGCATTTCATTGGTGTACGTGACTCTAATAATCCTCAATCTCCAGTGGGTTGATGTGCAGTGAATATACAGAGCTCCCAAACATACTTCACTCTGGCCCTTTATTGAGGAAATAATGTCCAGAGAAGTACACTTCCTTCCCATCATTCAGAAAATATTGGTCAACTACCACGTGCCATGCACATGCCAAATCGTAGTGGAGTCTTCTAGGTGTTAGAACAACATTTCCCGTGTGTATTTGACCACCTCTTTTTTCTTTCCCATATAAAGCTTATTAGTACTTAAAGGAATTAGTATCTTTTTTTTTTTTTTTAAGAGGTTTTTACCTTAGGGAGCATGCGCTTGCTGGAGACAGAGACAGAGACAGTGAGAAGGGAAGTGAAAAATCACTCCTAAGGGGGTTGGCCATGGTGCAGTTCTTTCTCCTTCATTCTCCTCCTGGGATCTTGGACATGCACGCACACACACCTGGTGTGAGTTTCAGGCCACTGGGTCTGGGACTCAAACAACAGTCAGCCATGTAGGAGTCCCAGTGACATAACTGCTATGCCATCTGGTAGTCCCAAGGACCTTAGTATATTAAGGAAATTCATTTGGTAACTGTTAACCTGGAGGTGTTTTTTTAATCTGGAGGTGTCCCATGTCCAGCATAGAGATGGAGCAGGAAAAATGTCTGTATTAGGTATCTATGGCTAAACTATAGTTTAGTACCATAAAACTAGCTTTTATTACTACTCAGAAGTGCCTGAGTTGGTGGGGCAGTTTTTGTGGCCTTGTCTGGGGTTACTGCGACCACATTTATGGTCAGCAGTTGGTTGGGAGGTGGCTTTGCTGATTTGGGCTGAGTGTGCTCACTCCCTTGCATGTAGCTTGGGGCTGGTTGTCTACATTGATATCAGTTGAAGTCCTGGGATTTTCTCCATGTGGTTGTTATCTTCCAGCAGGGTAATCCAAACTTCTCATAGTAAGTGCACGGGCTGAAAGGAGGCTGCAAAGTCATATAGCAAAGGATGTGGAAAGCTGAGAAGCAGAAAACAAGGGCTGTATTGCAATCAATCTCCTGCTGTGTTCCAGGGAGGAACACTTGTGTGTGTGGATGCTTGATCCTCTCTGTACTTTTTCTCCTTCTCTCTTTCTACAAACACACCCAGTCAGAATTGCTCTTCATTGAACACGATGGCAGCTATGGTCATAGAATTAAATTAGATTGGTTGTTTTTACCAGTCTTAGTATGTTGGAATCCTCAAAGCTCAGTGAAATCACCAGCTGATAGATAAGACCTCTCAGTGGCAGGAGCAGCAGATGGCATAATGGTTATGTTGCTCTGCCTACACAAGGCCAAATGCGGTTCACATCTACTCTCACATGGCCGACTGCAGTTCGAGTCCTGGATCTGGAGCCTTGATATTTATGCTGAGCGCATGTACATGCGTGTCCAAAATCCAGAGAGGAGAATGGAGGAGAAAGGATTGTGGCTCCCTGAGGGGAGTGTTATTTCTCACTTCCTGTCTCTCTGATGAGTGCATGTACCCTGTAGCAAAAATCTCTAAGGGAAAAAAAAGACTTTTTAGTGGCTGGACTTCTTGATATCACTTGATTTTCTTTGGGACAACAGTTTTGCCCCATTTCCTCTATATTGTATGTCTAAACTGACTGGGGGTAAGACACATGGCCTAACTTAAGGGACTAGAGCTAAAGACCCACTTTGGCTCTTCTGCACTTTTGTTACATGCCTTCAGAATATCTAAGGTTAATAAAGATAATATCTAAAGGGAGGTCTGGCC